TGCTTTTTGATTACAGTGGATTTTTACTTGCAGTGTCATCCATGCTGCCTTGGGCTGGCAGAGATTGGAGGCAATAACCCACGAGTCATTTTTTAAAAACATTTTTAGTAAAAGAAAATTAAAACTATCTGCACTAAAAATAACTAGAGAAGAGGGAGGAAGTGTCACTATTAACATCTTAAGTCGTATATCTACAGTGTTCAGAAACTCAGATTCCATTCCATAAAACTAGAAATGCAGTCTTACAGAGAATGAATTATAAATGTAATGCACATCTGATAGGATAAGTTTTAAACAAAGAAAAGGTAGAAATTCCCAATACGTCCACAATCCGGGTGTAGTCCTACTTATAACCGCAAACACTCTGATGCAGTTTTATTTGAAAACAAACGATAAAACTTGTCATCCCTGAAACCAGAGTGGAGTTACGCCAATAATTTAGAACAAAGAAAATATATAGGTGTAAATATTGAATTTAAGCTCTTTCTGGTTTTGGACATCATGAGGTGGTAACAATTTCATTGTACTAATTCATTATTCATATTTATTTAAGAAAGAGTCTTTTGATGTACTCTCAGGATCAGGTATGTGATTTGAGCTTAACTATAATAGCTTAGAAGAAACGCTCAGTAGTGTTTCCGTTTCCTGACTGAACAAGCAAAAACAGCATCGACACCCTGGCTTGCTTTGACTATTTTTGCCAGTAAATATCTTGGCCACTTCTCCCTTAGCTGTATCATAGAAGTTACAGAAGGGGCTTTGAAAGAGGGAATGCTAGAACATGTGGCATGGACGTATGGTTTTTCCTATGATGGTTTCTATGGTGAATTATAGAGCCACTTATAAGCTCAAAGAGTGGAATAAACAGCTTTGGGAGGTTGACCCCTAGTCAACGGTGGTATACACTGTTCATAGGAATATACTAGACTTTAAAATAACATTTAATTTGGAAGTCTTCACTAAAAAGATGATTGAGTAGTCAAATGGAACGTATTGGAATCTCTCTCTAATTAAGACCAAATGATCAGTTTCCATTAAAACAGAGATTAAAATTTACTGAAATAAGAAGAGGGACCTCTCATGATACCAGTTAGGAACCACAGGAGAAGATTTCCATAATTTTAGTAGGGTAGGCCAAAAAAGGAGGAGAGTTTCTTCGGTGTTTTCAAGAGAAGATAAGGAACTATGGTAGTTCAGCTAAAGCCCATTTTTATATGTACTTTTTAAATATAAAATTGATATTCCTAAAGAATTTACAACATAAGTAATCTGTATAATGACAAGTATAGTCCTATAGTGTTACATTTTCCTTCTCTTTTTTTCTTTTTTTGGATATAGTAGGCTTGTATCTGCTTTGGTAAATAAAGGCAATTAAGTAAGAGTTTTCTCCTTCACACACACTCAGACATACGATTTTCCCAGCTGTCCTCAGTTCAGATGAATATTGTCGAAATCTGCACAACAGAAACCTATGAGTCTCCCAGTAAACTTCCAGAGGCTAAATCATGCTTCCCTTGCCCAGTTTTGTCCCCTAGTTTGCTTTAGTATCTTTGCATTGAATTTGAGACGCATATCTTAACTATCCAAGAGAATGGATCAGCTTGACTTGTCAATAGCAACATGCTCAGTGAGGAACAAACCTAGATATAGCTGAAATATCCACCTTGAAGAGAACCAATGAAAAATGCCTATGTAGCTTCATTGCTACCTTTATACTATGTCTCTCTAAACTGGGTAGCCAGAATAAGCCAAGGTGAGAAAAAAATTAATTTTGTCAACCATGTAGCTCTTTTAGTAGAGTATGAATCTACAGTAAAATCCAAGTACCCATTAAAATATCCTTCCTATCACAGGGCTAGTAGTGGTACATAAGGCCCCCTCTACACATTATCTCTGTTGTGCAATTACCTTGTTAATTGTGCAACAAATTTAAACTATTTACACATGCAAATTAACTATCCTGCATTAAAAAGGTCCAACCAGCTATAAAGATATTGCTTGAATAGGTGTAATAACTTTATTGCTGGTTTCTGTCCAGCTTTAATTTGCATGTGTAGGCACTCTTCAGCTGGGAGACCGCAGCTACTGCTATCTCCCAGGTACTGGGGAGCACAACACACCCCTGGGCCCGGAAGATTTCAGCCAATGCAGTTTCTCAGCTGCACCCCTGTGGCTGGGAGGCTGTAGCAGCACCCAGCAGTTGGATAGGCTGGGAAGTCCCACAGCTGACGGCGTTTTCGGTCCCAACTGCACATGGCCTCCACAGGTTGGAACCTGCCCCAGAAAAAGGGCTCCCAGCCATGGTAGCCTGTTTCTTACTGATGCAGGGAAAGCCCGGGATCAGGCTCCCTCTACACCATGTATCAGGTGCAATTGGATCTAATGCACAATCCCACAATTGCGCCTCCTGCCATGCAGGTGTGGTATGGCAGGAGACACAATTGCATGGATCGTGCATTGGATCCAGTCACCCCTTTGCCTGCATGTGTGGAGGTGGCCTAAGAATACAGAAACTGGATTACACAAGCACACAGAGAAAACATGCATGTTTACAGATAAGAAAATATATCACTAGGTTTACATATATGACACTAACCATTTCTCTCTCCCCTCTCCACCAAAGGCAACAAAGGTGATTTCTGTTAAGAGCTCAGCATCTTTCTTGAATGAACATTTAATGACTCAAAAAAGCACTTTAATGGAATTTCCCACTACTGTCAGATACCGTATTTTGATTAATTCAGACACACACTCTCCTGTCTATGTTGATACCTAAACGTTGCAAGCTTTTCATTGTAATTTATCAGTGCTGTGAACAGTCAAATGCAGAGTTGAGCAATACAGTGAAAAACAGCTAAACTGAGAAGGTGATTTAATGTAACTTATCACTTGCATGGCCTTATCCTGCAACAGTTCTACCTGTAATTAATAGGAATTAGGGGTACACTGAGAGTTTTCCTTGGCTGATACCGATAGCCGATGATTAACCAACCATATCAGCTGATGCCAGTGTGATAACTTACATTTAGTAATAGTGACAGGCATTTGAAACTACTGACATACATAAACCTCTTTGTTTGTTTGTTTTGCACTTACAACACACACGCACGCCTCCTGCCTGCTCCAGCCCTCAACGAGGAAGGCGTTGACTGCCTTATTCCCATGCACATCACCCCCTCGCCCATGGCTCCTACCCACAGCCTTGCTCTCCATGCAGCCTGTGCTGCCATCCCAGGCGGGTGGGGTGGATCCTCGCGAGGACACCAGCTCTGGGTGCATTTGGTGCCACTGGGCATACCGCTGCCTCAGTGCTGGTGGGCCCCACGTAGCTGAGCTCCCATGGCCGCTGGGGAGAAAGCGCTTTTGCAAAGGCACCCAGTGCCTGACAGAGCAGAATGTCCCTTGCACAATGACCTCTTCCCCTCCCGCTGCTTGCCCCAACCTGTAGTCTGCCCGTGGCTCAGGCTAGTGGTGGGGCATGGGGACCAGACTACACTCGCCAGGGTGCTCTGGGCATGGAGCCATAACTATTGGCTACAATGACCAAAAAAGCCGATAGCCTATAACATAATTTCTTCTTTTATTGGTGCCGATCCAATAGCCAACTAATATATCTGTACAACCCTAATGGGAATAGTTCCTGGTTAAGGATAATATCAGATCCAGGTTTTGAAGACAGCCCAATCTACATTGTTTTGACAATTCAGATTTTTGACATCCCAGAGTAAAGAGAAATTTCTCTGGGTACGATGGGGGCTAAAAATAGTAAGCATATCAGTTCTCTGTAAGCTCCGTAAGCATATCGGTTCTCTTACTACCCACATATAATATATAGTGGCAAAGAGTATACCCCAATTACCTTGCATTGCTGGGCTATTTTCATTTCTTTTGCAAAATTAGAAGTTCTCCCAATAACACAGCCTTTTATAGCTATGTAGTTATGATGATAATTTATATATAACCGGGCAAAATTTGTTCTGGATTTGAATTCCTAGATAATTTTTTCTCTCTAGTATTTACAGCCTAATGTTTATCACTAAAGTTAAATTGGATATAAATCCAGTGGGCGCATCTGTGTGCTCGTACAGTGCCGTTATTACTGTGCTGTCAGTTAGTACTTCCTTCTTGGAAATACTGAACGATGGCGCAGTAACAGCCAATACTGCACCGTGCCGGTGGCGCAAAGTTACTTTTAGTCATTATGTCGCTGTAGCAATGCGATGTAGCAAGAGAGCATGTTGCTACAGCAACCTAGCGGTGGCATCACAGTTTTTGACGTCGTGTTTCATGTAGACGTATGCCCAGTTTTATGGAAATGGTTTATATAAAATTGCAGTGGTCCAAACCTGGGAAGATTTCATGTGTTTGACTGAAATTTCTAAGGAGCCTCTTATAATATAGCGAGTAGTAAGGAGGAGCACAACTGTAATCATTATTCTTATATCTAATCAGGATCAAGTTCAGAACTACTTCCAGTTGCAAACATATTTCAGAGAATTTCAGAATATTCAGCATTTTTCAAGAAAAGCAAGAATTTAAGTGCTTAAACACCAACTTACAAGTATAGCACAAAAAGCCTACTGCAGAAAAGTGTCCTCAAACAGTGTTGTAGCTACTTATATTTTAATGGTCAGTTAACTAGAAATATTAAAATAATTCTTATTATTGAGGGATACATAAAGAAGAGCTTCCAAAATAGATCTGGTTCATCTTACCAAAGTAACTTTTCATTAAGTAGGTTTGCAAAATTTGGTTGTTCTTTTAAGTACCTTTACTTGCCAGAAGCTGAAAAAATGAAAGGCAGGTAGAAAGTATATATGAAATGAACATAACATCTGTCCTACTCTGCTTTTCAGGCACCTGTCCAGATACTGATTTGGGTTAATCAGCTCACAGCCGAACTTTGTGCAAGCTTCTGGAACAAAGAGGAACAGTAAAGAGACTTCAGATCATTTCCTGTCTTCAGGAAACTTTTAAAAACATCTATCTTCTGGATGTCCAAACATTTCAAGCTGAAGTTTAAGTTTTATATTTTCTGCTTGATAACCAATTATATATTCACTATATTTCTATCTTAAGGGGCTGGCAGTTGACCTTACCAGCTAACCAGCATGGCTAGGATCAGATTTGTTTTAACAGTTTTCCAGTTGGTGCTAGAATTGCTGATGAATTCATTAACTGAGTCTTCCATACAGAATAATGAATGTCCACAGCTTTGTGTATGCGAAATCAGGCCATGGTTTACACCACAGTCAACCTACAGAGAAGCTACGACAGTTGATTGCAATGACCTTCGTTTAACAAAAATCCCCAGCAATCTTTCCAGTGACACTCAAGTTCTTCTCTTGCAAAGCAACAACATTGCAAAGACTACAGATGAACTCCAGCAGCTTTTCAATTTGACAGAATTAGATTTTTCACAGAATAATTTTACTAGCATTAAAGATGTGGGGCTCGCAAATCTTTCTCAACTCACTACACTACATCTGGAGGAAAACCAGATAACAGAGATGACTGACTACTGCTTGCAGGACCTGTGTAATCTTCAGGAACTATATATAAATCACAACCAGATTAGTAGCATTTCTGCAAATGCATTTTCTGGCCTGAAGAATCTTTTAAGATTGCATCTTAATTCCAACAAATTAAAGGTTATTGATAGCCGCTGGTTTGATTCTACTCCTAATTTGGAAATTCTGATGATTGGTGAAAATCCAGTGATTGGAATACTAGACATGAATTTCAAGCCACTGTCAAATTTAAGAAGTCTAGTTTTGGCAGGCATGTACCTCACTGATATCCCTGGAAATGCATTAGTTGGCTTGGATAGTCTTGAAAGTCTTTCCTTTTATGATAATAAATTGGTAAAAGTTCCTCAACTTGCACTTGAGAAAGTACCAAATTTAAAATTCCTCGACCTTAACAAAAATCCGATTCACAAAATACAGGAAGGTGACTTTAAAAATATGCTCCGGTTAAAGGAACTTGGAATAAATAATATGGGAGAACTAGTTTCTGTTGATAGATATGCACTAGATAACCTTCCTGAACTTACAAAGCTTGAAGCCACCAACAATCCAAAGTTGTCTTACATCCATCGTTTAGCATTTCGTAATGTTCCTGCACTGGAAAGCCTGATGCTCAACAACAATGCCTTGAATGCAGTCTACCAAAAGACAGTGGAATCCCTTCCAAACCTACGCGAGATCAGCATCCATAGTAATCCACTCAGGTGCGACTGTGTCATTCACTGGATAAACTCAAATAAAACCAATATCCGTTTCATGGAGCCTCTATCCATGTTTTGTGCTATGCCACCTGAATACAGAGGGCAACAAGTAAAAGAAGTATTAATACAAGATTCAAGTGAACAGTGTCTTCCAATGATTTCTCATGAGACTTTTCCAAATCATTTGAATTTGGATATAGGCATGACAGTATTTTTAGACTGTCGGGCCATGGCAGAACCAGAACCGGAAATTTATTGGGTAACGCCACTTGGAAATAAAATAACAGTTGAAAGTCTCTCAGACAAATACAAGTTAAGTAGTGAAGGTACCCTGGAAATCTCTAATGTTCAGATTGAAGACTCTGGGAGATATACGTGTGTGGCTCAGAACGTAGAAGGGGCCGATACAAGAGTAGCTACTATACGAGTGAATGGAACTCTTTTGGATGGTACTCAGGTTCTGAAAATATATGTCAAGCAAGCCGAATCTCATTCAATCTTAGTTTCTTGGAAAGTTAATTCTAATGTCATGACCTCTAATCTAAAATGGTCATCAGCCACTATGAAGATTGATAACCCTCACATTACATATACTGCTAGGGTCCCAGTTGATGTACACGAATATAACCTCACTCACTTGCAGCCATCCACAGATTATGAAGTGTGCCTAACTGTGTCAAACATCCATCAGCAAACACAGAAGTCTTGTGTTAATGTTACAACAAAAAATGCAGCTTTTGCGCTTGATATTTCCGACCAAGAAACCAGTACTGCCCTTGCGGCAGTAATGGGATCAATGTTTGCCGTAATCAGCCTTGCCTCCATCTCTGTTTATATTGCTAAAAGATTTAAGAGAAAAAACTACCACCATTCATTGAAAAAATATATGCAAAAGACATCTTCGATCCCACTGAACGAGCTGTATCCTCCACTTATTAATCTCTGGGAAGGTGACAGTGAAAAAGACAAAGATGGTTCTGCAGAAACCAAGCCAACTCAAGTCGACACATCCAGAAGCTATTACATGTGGTAACTCAGAGGATATTTTGCTTCTGGTAGTAAGGAGCACAAAGACTTTTTTGCTTTATTCTGCAAAAGTGAAAAGTTGAAGACTTTTATATTTTTGACTTTGCTAGTTTGTGGCAGAGTGGCGAGGACAGGTGGATATTTCAGAATTTTTTAGTATAGCGTATCGCAATTGTTTGACACAAATGGCGGCTTCACCTAGCTTCCAATTTTTTTTTATTTTTTTATTTTATTTGTATTTAGTTCCTGTGCTAAAGTTAATAATGCTGTTCTAACTACAGTGCTGAAAAAAATTAATGACAGGCTGGGGTTTCCCTGCGAGTCACAAGTAGCAAGACCCCTTTTTTTCTGAAGCCATCAGTAGAGAGTACAGTATCCTGCAAAAGCTAACATACAGTTTTGAAACTGCATTGAAATAGTTTTGTAACACTCTGGTCTAAAGACTCTTTAACTGAGAAACAAAGACTAGATCTTGAATGATGTTAGTTGACTGTACTGTAATGTTGTATCAACTGATTTGAATGTTTTTGAACAATGACTTTTCTTTCCTTTTTTTCTTTTTGTAATAGTTTAAAAAGGCTTAGGTAAAGCTAACAGGCAATAGAAAAATGTACATCCAGTTTTTTAAATGTAACAGACTAAATGTTAATTGTTATCTTATTCTTTTTATTATATTTAGTAGACTATTTTAAAGATTACTAGAGTTTTGTTGTGCTTAATCCACCAACACATGGTGTATAATGAAGGCAGAACTATAATAAATTACAGTTTTGTTCTGATTTTTTTTTTAGAACGGTCACAATAACGTATCATTTTTAGTTGTCACTAGTTTGGCTGGTGAACATATTTAGACATGCAATATATCCAAACTGCTATATAAAACGCGTGGATTTTTTATAAAGCCAGTTCTCAACTGATTTCCAATTTATTTTTTTTTCTAAAGAAGTCTCTCTTTTGAATTGGGGTGTTTTTGCTGGGTTTCTATATTAAAAACAAAATATTGAAGAGAACGTACTCAGAAAGATATTGTGGTGTAAGACTTTGATGCTGTTTCACATGCAAAATTAAAACTGTTTGATATAATGAGGTACAGGGCAAGAAACTATACTGAACATAATATGTTTTCCCTTTTTTGTTGGTATTGAAAGCTAAGATACACATGAGGAATCAGAACTCTGGGTAGACGGGAAATCTTTTATTAGACCAAATAGATATTTGCAAATATATATATATATATACACACACACATGAAGCATTTTGCTGCCATTCTGACAGAAAGAAATGCTTCTCAGATCACCAAATTGAATTATAATGGTTGAATCCATGCACATATTTTACCGATAAAAATATCCATTTTTATTTGGATTACTGTCTTTTCACATAGTAATTATGGTATGTAAAACTGACGCATTAACTGATGTAAAATGTGTCCAACAATCAATATCGGTCTTATATAGACTTTCAAATAATCTGTAGCTCAAACTATATTACTAAAATCATAGAGCGTGGATTAATGTGGTACAAAATTAAAGAACACGGTGTTAAATTTTATTAACAACTGACAACTGGGTTTTCCAGAAGCATTCCGTTTTGGCTCCTAGCAAAGTCCTTGACACAAGGACAGTGCATTGAGGTCACCAAAGGGATAGGTTTCCGATGCAACATCTGTTATTGTCACACCAGATGCCAAAGGAGCAAGTGCAGAATTCTCTCTACGTTTCCTCTTTTCCTCCTCACCCCAGTGTAATAAAGCGCTGACTTTGCAATTACCATGTAGCGTGTGCAAATTTGGAACGTGTTTCCATATCAAGTAACTATTTTTGAGTTACTAGTGAGCAAAAATAAATTGTCTTTATGTTTGAAGTTCTTTGGTGGCTTTTTTTTTTTTTTTTTTTTTTTTACTCTCCAGTAACTCAAAGCTGCCTGTGATTTCTCGAAACAAAACAAAAAAATCTTCAGGCTATCGCCTCTGAATATCAGAGAAGTCTCAACATAGGCTTATCTGTATTTTAGTGGTGGAAGACCTGCATCGTCGTAATTTTATATAGTTAAATTATCTCTGGCTTGCCAAATTACATGTTGTAACCAAAAACATTTATCACTGCACAAAATTCTTTACATTCACATGAAATCTCTCAGACTTGTACCTATATGCTATTTGCATGTGGGATTTTAAAGGGCTTTCCTCTGAGATAGAAAATAATATTGCTGAATTTTGTTATTTCTTATTTTGTCATTTCCTATTTTGTCTGCCTTTCATTGTCCATGGAAGGTGTTGTACACTGTTTTTACCACTGAACAGCTCCAAAGCAATAACTGCCATCTTGCCTATATGTTATGCTAGCCTAGAGTCGCTCCTGCTGTTATAGCAGACGTGATAAATTAAAACTTGGGTTGGTTTTGCAGCAGAGAAATCAACAGGGCATGTTCATTGTAAAGGGCATGGTAAGGATGAGGCTGACAGCAAAGTTATGGCTTCCCACTTGTGTGGCATCATTAAGTAGCCTTTACAAAATCATTCACTGAGCAGGTTATGGATACTGCAGAGCAGGCCCTGTTCTGATCATCTCTTTCAGCCTACGGCAGCACTGCACATCTGTATAATGGCATTCAAAATAAAGAAACTGAAAAGACAGTGGTATTCTACTTGAAACTTCTTATCAAACCTGATGGCAAAAACAAGCTAATTTTGGTCCAAGTGTAATGAGCCATGGAATATTATTCAGCAGGTTTCCTTTAACTGTGTTCAAGAAATGATGGGCCAATGGTGGCATACAGCTATCCATCTTTGGCGCTATTTGCTACTTTATTAGAGCAAGGTCTTTAAGGAACTAAGAGGGCAGGAGAAAAGCTATTAACAGGTGGCCTGTAGCACAGCAGAGACAATTTGATGCTTGTAGTTTATTGCAGGGATAAATACATGTTACATGTTTACCCAATTCCCTCCAAAATACATTTGTTTCCTCTATTCATTTTAGACACAAACTTTTCCCCTCAGAAATTAAAGAAAAGTAGCTCATAACTTCTTTCCTCCCATGCTGTTAGCATTTATTAAACTAATGCTTTGTGCTAAGGATGAACATTTCACACACAGCTAAACTTGTGCAGTTTTCTCACTTGGCTGCACAACAGTGGAACCGGCCCTGCTCCCTAAAGAGCCGCAAGCGTCAAAAGTTGTGTCGTTACGTGAGTTCACAAAATTCATTTTTAATTTCATCACCTAAATCGTAATATCCTATTAGATTCACAGAGCATTTGACACGCAGGCCAAACCATTCATTCTAGATATGGTAAGTGCACATGCAAATTTGCCGGTAGATGCATAATTTCGCACATGATTGCACAAAGTTTTAAAAGTCTGTCCTCGACTCCTGCTCGGAGCATTTATATATGTTATTAAGAACCTCAGTTTACAGAGAAGACAGAAAAGGCTGCAATTATACAACCAACAATTTAGATGGCTTGGGTTCTTAGTCTATAACTTTAAATGATCTTATCTGTCATTGCCTATACTTTCTTGTTTCTTTGATAGACAAAATTTTGACCAAAATATTTTCATATTGTCTATTCAGTAAGAAGTGGGCATATGTGTTCTCATGCACCTGACTGGTCAGATCTCCGATTAGGGGTGGGAAGTCGTACAAGGCATGGTCTACTTCTGCAGGGAATGGCACAAGCATGGAGAGCTGGAGGAACTCATGCCAGACTCCTTATTAACAAGCAGGCTGCTAAGCCCTACAAAGGGGACACGGGAGGTGGGGGTATATTTGGTGATTCCCTCGCCCTTTTCTTTGTGAAATTAGCCTGGAAAATGAATATAAACCAATACAATGAGACTGCCACAAGCAAATGGCATGTGCATCTGGACACAACTTGAGCGAGGGAGGAGTTTACACAGCTTCCTTTCAATAGCAATGAAGTCTAAACAAGATTACCATTAAAGGCTTTGGAGTCCTGCCTCCCTCCCTCTGCCTTTGATTCTTGAGTTACTTCCTTCCTCTTTCCAAAATTTCCCCCTTGGAGACCACAATTGCTGCTGATTGTGTCAGTAAGATTCAGATCAAGATCAAGCAACTCAGCATGCAGAATTTTAATTTTAACCTTCAGCTTTCTCCTCTACTGTAATCCACAGGACTTGCACTTTCAGTTAGCAGGAGCAAAATGCAGTTCCCTCAGCCGCAGCCTTCTTATCAGTACGGTATTTGTGAATATATTGAGACATAAGGTATTTTCCCTTTAGCTACCAAAGAAAAGACTGCCCCCATACCCATTAAGGTAGAAGTTATCTGATAATAAAACAAAACTTAATTCTGAGTAGCAGATGCTCCTGCTAACAAGGCAAAAGGGGCATCATGGATGTTGCAGTAACTGAGCTGCAGCCATGGTACTTAGAAGGCTAGAAACAAATGTGCTGGCAAAAGCTGACAGACTCGTTATACTGGGTAAAATTTCCAAAGACATTTAAGTGATTTAGGAGCTTAAATCCCACTGGCACTTAGGCTTTTAACTAATGCATATTAAGGCCTTTTGAGGTTTTAAGTAACCTTTTTTGAATATTTTCTGTGATGTGTTGTAATGTTTCCAAATTCAAGTCACTGAGCACCTGGATCTTGCGCTCAATTGCACAAAGAAAAATCTGGAATTGCACTGCAGTCACTGGAGCCCCTCCTGGTTTTTACATGTCTGAATGAAATCTCCATCTGGCTTTGAAAAGTTCATCTGATTGGAGCCATAAACAAGGAATAAAAATCCTTTGCAATTTTTATGACCAGCCTTCTTCCAGTTTGTTCTCTTGGATTAGAACCTGAGCATGGATTATTCTAAAACACAGGACAGAACAAACCAGGATGTCAAGAATGAAAATGTGTTTTTAACATAGATGTGTGTTAACAAGTTTCATTTTTGGACAGACCTCAATGGACGGCGGCCATAAAATAACTTGCAGGTTTTTTTGAAGTTATACTGAATCAAACACAGCAGACTATGTGCAATGCCCAAGAACTTGAATGAAGGTAAGTATACACAACTAAAATGTCTTTTATTTTCAAGCACGAGTCTGTCCTGAAACGCAGAGTAAGTCAAGATCAAGGGTAGTCTAATTTTCAGTGCTCATTTTGACCTACCTACATGCATGAACATACTTTTTTCCAGATTACTCGGTATTACACAGCACTTGATGCGTTAAAAGTCAATTTTCTACTGATTACATTGTGGCTGGAAGAATTTGGCACTTCTTAAATTCAGATCCAGGCTTTCAAGGGAGGTTCCCAGACCCAATTAGAGTTCCTCACCTGTGAACAGTTTGGTTTGAAGTGATACGCTCAGCAAAGAAAGACTTTTGTCAGAGACGGGGCTAGAATCCCATTTCTCCAGGGCAGCAGTCGACTGCCTGAATCATGACATGGTCCTTTGTCCTGTAATTCCTGCCTCATTCTTTATCATCTGCATCAAATTAAAGAGATCTAACAACCTCCTCCACCACCTCCTCCACAGTCCCAGCTCATGCCCAAAAATTCCTTTACATGAGTCCTGATGCAAAAAAAAAAAAAAAAATTATTCTGATCATTTTATTAAAGACTGCATCATAATGCAGACCCACAAGGTTGAACCAAAGGTTAAAATTAAGTGCATTTGAGTATTTGGCCTTTAACAATAATGTGTTAACAGACACTTTTGAGTTCCAATTTAAGTTTTAAAGAAGCAATTTGACAAAAAAAACTTGTATGCAAATTTATATCACATAGTATCAATACAATAATAGCTCATATGAAAAAAATCTGCAAAATCTAC